AAAAATCATCATCCACCAATCTAACCAAACTATCACCAAGACTTGAAGGAGAAATCAAATGATAGTCAATCTCCATACGGGTTGGAGAGGAAGAAAGAACACTCATATCTGCAAGTAACCAACGCATCCACTACTAAACCAAAGGGATGCAAATTTCAAATTCCAACTCGACAAATACCAAATAAATTGGATGCAAATTTCAAATTTCGGATACACCGAACCAACACCAAACTGGACATATACCAAACCAAATTCCAGATGAACTGGACATATACTAAACCAAATTCTAAATGAACTTGACCAAATTCTAGATGAATTGGACATATACTAAACCAAAGGGATACATCCTAAAAGAAAAGAAAAAAAGAAAAAGAAAAACAACATTGGTAGCTGGACGAGCGGCTCAAGGCCGCTCGCCAGAAACGAAATTCAAAGGTTAATTTGTTTAGGATGAAACTGCTCTGATACCATGTGAAGAATATTATAAATTGTATATAATACACTTGTTTCTATTACAAAGGAAAATATTCTATTTATAGGGCTATAAATAACTCTAAAAAGAAAGATTGCATAATAATTATACAATCAACTATTAAGGAAAATAATCCTACACTATTGGAAAAATAGCAGAGAGATTATTCTTTCCATATCTTCAACAGAAGAAAAGGGTACAAATTTTCATGTTCTTGCTTAAATAATGTGAAACAAACAGGGGCTATATTTCATTTAAAAAGGACTACACTACGTGGGATTGACCAAATGCTGAAGTGCAAAGTTCACCTAGGGGACCAAGATATTACATACCTTGTTACTGCATAATGAAATCTTATTTTAGATTTCATTGATATGACTGAAATAGAATTGGACTTGGTTTTAAAAGGTGGGGGTGCCAGGGTGGTGTAGGAATATGGGAAATTGGATTTTGAAATTTGGACTGATGCACTATACTTTGTTGTGTACAAAAAATTGGGGCTGATGATTTGGTCGACAATATTTGGAGATTTTAACCTCTGGATTTGTAAAATGTTCATCTATCTGGAATTTGGAGGCATCTGGAATGGACACTAGCAATTATGGGGATCACAGATGTCAGAATAATCTCGTGATTAGTAGCTGCACCACTTTCTTTTGGACATCTATGGATACTGATAAATAGGTCTTCTATCGAGAATTACGGAGTCTAGTATAACTCGTATATATATCTATGGTCATCTTTTACTATCGTTCTCGTCTGATTAAAGGAGCATAAAGTTTTTCTTGGCTGCTGATATTTAAATTTAAGCATGGAGACAACGTACGCATTCGTGATTATCATGTAGTTATTACCTGCTGTGCTTTTTAGGTAATTTCACGTCTTTTGGTATATATTAGGTACCCCTTGACTATTGAGTCCTCTCATCTTGCAACATTGAATGAGAGTAGTGTGAGGAGCAGACAAAACGAGTTCTGTAACATGTTTGATTGAACACATTGTTTTTATGGTTAGTGCCTCTTGGTGCGAATTAGGGTATACATTGCCATTCAGGGGTCCAGATTTTTGAATTAAGGGCACAGACAAGAATGATTGAGCATGCTAAGCACGTCATGTGATAATTCCACTCTGATTTTTTATGTACACGTTAAGGCTGCATATTATTAAGTTCTAGGTGTGTAAATCAAGGGTAAGAGAATTTCTTAACTGTTACATCTCGAAGTTTTCAACTCCTGACTAGATATTCCTTAAAATGTGTTATAACCTTATAGGTGTTCAAGAAACATTTTCTGATTTCTGTTGGGTATTGTTTGTACTGTTAATGAAGAGTTTAGGGCGTGTTCGGTAGAGTTTAAAATTGAATTAAAATTGAAAAACTAGCCGTTATTGTTGACTTTTATTAGACGAGTGGGACCCAATAACGACCATATTTTCAATTAAAATTGGATTTTAATCATGGGCAAACATGCTCCTAATCTTCAAAATTCAATTTTGTAGACATTAGTGAGCTGAACCTACCTATGACATGTATCATCTCTTTCCCTAATGGCAAGGATGACCTGATGAACTTTGAAATCACCATTCGACCAGATGAAGGATATTACTTGTAAGTAACCAATCGTACGCAGATATTTTTATTGTGATGAAGTTTCTTCGACAGTATTCAATATTGACTGTCCAGAAAAGGTGTATCTGGCTTATTAACTTCTACAATTTCGTTGTCAATAACCTCGGTATTGGTTATTTTAACATTTCTACTGTTTCAGAGGGGGTGCATTTCTATTTTCTTTCCAAGTTTCCCATATTTACCCGCATGAACCCCCAAAAGTCAAGTGCAAGACCAAGGTAATGACACTTATCTCTCTCTCCCGTCTATATGTTGAAATTGTGGAAAATGATAATCACAGGAATAAAGAAAAGAAAATATATTGTATTTCAGGAACGTGGCATTTGGTCCAACTATTTCTTATTCAAGTTTTGTGCAATATGCAGGTTTATCATCCTAATATCGACTTGGAGGGGAATGTCTGCCTCAATATACTCCGTGAAGATTGGAAACCCGTCCTTAACATCAACACTGTTATCTACGGATTGTATCACCTTTTTACCGTATGAATTTGATTCTTCCACGAGCAGATTTTCATTATACTTTAACTACAACTCAGCGTATCATATTCTGGTTGTATGTGCATGGATGTTTTTGAAGCCTCGTGCAATGACACTTGCAATACTTGGTATTATATGCAGGAGCCAAACTATGAGGATCCTCTCAATCACGATGCGGCTGCAGTGCTGAGAGATAATCCAAAGATGTTTCAATCAAATGTACGGAAGGCTATGATGGGTGGATATGTGGGGCAGACGCACTTCCAGCGGTGTATGTAGTAACTTATAAAGCAAGGCTGGCAACTGTTCATTGTGATCATATCATAACATTTGAAGGTGCTTATTGTAAATTTCACTTACAAATTTCAGTGTCATCTTTCGACCATTTCTTTACAGCTGGGACATCAGTGTGCAAAATGTATGCTATGACTTACTGAATCGTATTGCATTGATTTGCTAGTTTTACCATGTTAAACAAGAATCAGCTTGGTCTAAGATTTGCTCCTAGTTATTCATGAAATCTGTTTCTTCTACACTGGCTATTCTTGTATTCTTGTGTTACTGCTTAAAATTCCGCGGCCCACAGCCATAAACCAAATGGAACAACCATCATTGAAATGAACCCCCTCGACAACGTGAATGCCTCACAGCAGACCCTGAAAGTGGGATAAATCTTCTCTGCTAAAATTTCGACAACAGGAGATGCTGAGTAGTAAAAGGATACCTCAACAGCGTGATCAGATGCATAAATCATGGTACGATGTTTTGCTACTAGGACTAGATGGTGTTACAAATAATATTTTAGTTTTTTCATTCTTGTCTAATACTCGTGCAAATAAATTAAATTTCTGAGTTAGGAAATCTGTGAATGTTTTAGAAGGGTGGCTACCAGTATCACATCATTGCAAGGATAACAAAGTAACTCTTAAGCAATTTTTTTTTTTTTTAAATCAAAACTCTATTCATTTTTTTTTTTTGAGTAATGCTATTCATCCTCACTGAGGATGAAAACACAGTCTACGTGGCGTTATGTGGCATTAAATGATAGGTGAAATTAAAGCCACCTAGACTGTGTTTTCATTCCCATTGGAGATGAATAACATTACTCTTTTTTTTTCCCCTATTTCATCTTATAATTTTAAACTATTAACTAGGAGACATTTATTTATCCACTAGGTGTAAGCAACGTGCAATGCACGTTTGCTTAGTTTATATATAATTTTTTTGATTAAGAATTAAATTTTTATTAATAAAGATGTAATTTTTTTGGCTAATTAAATAACTAATGATGTAATGTTTATGTAATTAGCCAAAAAAAT